GGGTTGAGGGAGTGAATGGACGGGCGGACGAGCGAGAATCGAAAGCCCGGAAACCGCTTTAACGAGGTTCAGGAGGGTGGCGCGCGACGAGGACACGTAAGGGTGCAAGGAAGCGTGCGCGTGTTGTACAAAAACCTCTTGTGTTGTACGCGTACAACAGTACGAAGCTGTTCATGTAACAGCTACCGCGTTAGTCGGTAAAATCGCGGGTCGCCCCAAAAGAGCCAGAGAGGAAGGGACAGACGTAAGAGGACGACGTGTGTGTGTGTGCGGCAAGGATTGGCAAAACCGTTTGATGCAGTTTCCAACAAAACTCTGATGAGGCGGCACTGTCCCTGCAATCTCGCAAGACTCGCTAGCTGTCCTAATTAGCGCGATCGCGCTGGCATTTAATTAACAAGTTCGCGTGCGCGTACATGCACGTACACTGCACGTACTACGCTCGGGTAATGATTTTCAGAAACATATTGCACGAGCAACGGTATATATACACGACCTTTTTTTGATCTCAGTATGATGAAATCGATATGCGTCCCGTTGAAATAATCGCTCATTCATTTGTTTGTGATTAGATACAAGCGGCGTAATTATTCATGTGAATTACGATAAGCTCTTGGTCATTATTGATCACCGGTTAGCAATAATGTTTACACAGCGGAAGAATCTGGTATCTTATTAGTTATGCGCACGCACATAATTTATCGCTCGATTATCATAAAAAAACGATTGTTCATAAGCGGTTGAAAATCTTTAGGTTCATCTCGTGGCTATTTATGGAAAAAGAAACCGTTATAAATTCGAGATGGTCATTACCGATTATGACTTTGATTAGTCTATTATTTTTTATTATTATTTTTTTTTCATTGCACGCACAACGCCATGAGTAGATGTCAATTATATATATTATATATATTATATATAGTATATATATATATATATATATATATATATATATACATATATACTATATATATATATATATGTATATACACACTATATTTTTACAATTAACTTTGCAAACAAAGCGGAGAGTGACAATGAAATTTGCGGATTACGTGACAATAAGTACCACGGGATAGTTTTGTTTTTTCTTTTTTTTTTTTGTTTTAAATGAATTTGATATTTCAATTATTTCGTGTCGGTAACAAGCGTCGTTGGTTGTAAAGCTTGGAGCATTTTGCGCAAAATTATATTTTGGCGACGTGATTTTCGATAGCGTATTTCGCGAAATTCGCATCTTTATGCGATTGAAAAATAATCGAGATATATAATTTACAAAATCATATTCCTGTACGAAATAATATGTCGACGATGAAATTTCGGACTTTATTTATCTCTGTTCCATTTCGCGCGTTCATTCGGAATCGCACATATACTCTTACAACTTACTCGACGCGTGTGTATCGGTAAAATAATTATATCAGGTGCTCCGAGGTAAATTGCCTTTGCTTTTAACGGAACATTTCTTGATGAACTTGGAGTTGATTTCTTGTTCGCGTAAAATTCCGATATCTTGTTTGGTTTAAATACAACACAAAGTCGTGTCGCGACAATTAAAAAATTAAAAAATTTGGCATCAAGCAAAAAAGCGTTCACGCGTAAAAAAAGTCATTTGATTTAAATATATTTAAAATTATATTAATAATTTAATTACATTAATTATATTAATAACGTAATTAAAATTGTATTAAAATGTTACGCCTTTGAACAACATCACATTGTTCGGTATAAATCCACATAGACAGCGTGTCTATATTAAACTTGTCCGCAAGACGTCCATAACTCTATGTGACGTCTAATGAACATCTAATGGAGATTTGCATAGAAATGGTGTTCCGTGTGGCGACAATTTTTTTTTTTTTTTGTCGTACCGTCAAACCCGAAAAAGTTATTTAAATGTTGCGTTTTTAATAAACTCTAATCTGCGTATAAGACTATATGTGACACGAGTTTTGTTTCCGCAGCAAAAATATATTATACTTGTAAATCTCGCGCGCAAATTTTCAGACACTATATATATATATATATATATATATATACGTTTCCGACGCGCGTCGCTCGCTACACGGGAAAATGTATTTAGCCGGTAATGAGCGGCTAGAAGTTTTTGTTATAATTAGGTTGTTACCTGGCTTCCGGTATCTCGGTGCGAGTACTCGTGGAACTGAGATTTCTTTATCAACCAACACTCTCTCTTTTTCTCTCTCTCTCTCTCTCTCTCTCTCTCTCTCTCTCGTACATACATTGCATGCCTTGTACACGGGAATAAAGATGCGCGGGTTGCGCACGCTGATGCATATGCACAAACGCGTTTTGCAGAGTGAGAGAGTAAGAGAGAGAAAGAAAGAGAGAGAGAGAGAGAGAACGAGAGAGGAAAAGAGAAAAAGAATTGATTAGCTCTTTTTCTAACACGCGTCCCGGAAATGTTGCTTTTATTAACCGAGATGAAGGGAAAACTACGACATTTTCCTTGCCAAAGTAAATAAGCTCAGCCTTTTTCACATTGGCTTTCGATTCTTCTTTTTTTTTTTTGCAGTCTGCAGAGTAAGCGTGTGATTAATGCTAATGATAAACGTGCGACTTTTGAGAGAAAAGTTTAATTATGTGAAAAAAAAAAACCAAAACTTTTGCATAAAATAAATCTCTTTTATTCCCTTCGCTAACAAAGATCTCAAATCCGCTATCCCGCAGATACTACCGGTCCTACATCACGTGGGTCCACTCTGTCGTGGATATAAATTGTACCGCATATGTGCTTAAGAAAACTTCTCTCTCTCTCTCTCTCTCTCGCTCTCGTCCCCGGATAAACAAACCTTATCCGTTCGATCTGCTCAAGAGTGAAACAGCGTTCTCTCTTCATAGGAGAGGTACCATCGTTGCTGGTATCGATCGCGTTCGATTCAGTGATGCAGGACAATGCGGGTTTATGCTGACACATATCACTGTTACGAGGTTGGCGCGCTCTCGTCTAGTGCATTCGCGCGTCATAAACATTTTCCTTTCGGTCGCGTAGGCGACCCTATACCTGTCACCCTATGCGCGCGCTCGCAAATAAAGTCTGATGAAAGGAAGAGAGTCTCACAGAGGACATCGAACATCAATGTTCTTTCACCACATATTCATGAGTTATCACAGCGCGCAGACTGATCTGAACAGAATTATAAAACTTTGTGCACATCTGTAAGATCTAAATTTGCAAACGAGAGGATCTATGACTGTTATATTATTTTCCACATAGTACACTTTTTTAACCCTTTGCACTCCGCTGTCCCCTCTCAGGGGACATCGTAATTCTAGCATATCACTCGGATGTCCCCTTTCAGGGGACATTCAAGTTTATTAGTGATTACGGGGAATTGAGTTATTTCAGCGCAACTTTTTGAGACATGCATGTTTTCCTGAAGTTTTCTCATGAAATGGCACAAGAAATCAAATCAAAATATCGTAAAATTGTTCGGAGTGCAAAGGGTTAAACATTGTATTTATAAGATATAAATACGATGTTTATTCTAACTGATAAATATAAAAATTACATGAAAACACAGTTAAATTCATTTTAAACTAACATTTCTCTTTTATTTTATACTTTATTTCGAGTTTGGGTGTCTGTAATATTTAATCAAGTAAAATATTGACAGTTGTTTTTAAATGAAACATTTTTTTCGCATACTGTATATATTGTCTTATAATAACGTTTTTATTAAACGGTTATTTTATTAAATTATTTTGCAAAAGTTTTAGTTTTTGTTTACAACTCTCGAATAAAATTATTTTAAATTGAAATATTTTCTCGTCGGTTTGTGTTTTTGTAAGGTGGCGGAAAGTTATAGAAAGAAGGAAAAATATTTCTCAGATTGATTTGTAGGCTACTGTATTTTATGATTAACAGTAAAAGTAAAACAAGACTCGAACTTTTGCATACACCTTAATATATATATATTTTTAATATATATATTCATATTTTTTAATATATATATATTTAATATATATATTTTTTATCTTTTTGTATTGATCGAATTACATAAATATACATACATACAAACATTAAAAAAATATACATACGAATATACATACAAAAAATTATATAAATGAATTATAAAGTAAATTATAAATTTATAAATTCTATATATCAATATTGTTTTTATACATTTATTTATTATAAAGTAGATCATAAAGTAGAAGTTTTTTTAATCAGATCTTGCGCAGTTTGAATTTTTTTTAACAAAACAACAAAAACAGAATAAAAATATTCTAATATTTGATCAGCTCGATGTTAATATTCTGTCGAGAAAATATGGTGCTCTCTTCATGATTTAACAAAAAAAAGAAAATTTTTTATTTCACAAATATCCCTCTTATCTCTTCGAACCAAGAAAAACGGATAACCATTTTATTTTCCTCTCCACATGCTGCTCTTTTTCACAACTCTTCGATTCTTTTTACTTCAAACAAATAACGAGCGGCGATGTGTTTTCGTTGTGCTGAATGTTGCAAAAAACGTACGAGGGATATTATTGGAAAGTAGTTGCTATTAATCGAATGGTACACCGCCGAGAGGGTGATAATAATGTGTGTGTTGGCTCTCACATAATAATGTAACTCACCAGGTGTTCCCGCGGCCGTTGAACAAAAATTTTGCGAAACAAAGCTGCGGGAGACACAAATTAATGGAAATACGATTTGAAGATACCGCGGTGTGTTATTAACAATTCAATAAACGGAATTTGCGTGCTGATATGTGTTACTCGTGGGAGATGCCGGCTAATTATTTGTAACACTTGCTGCTGTTAACGTGAACGCGGAATTATAGCGCGAGTTTTCGGACTACCCCTCGCTTTATTCCTCTTCCTCCCCCGCTGTTCCCCTTGTATATTTGGTGCGCCGTACAAACTGCCCTTTCCGAATATCGAACTTCCTCTCTCCGTGCGAGTTACGCCGCTCCACGAAAGAGCTTTTGCACTGGTTCGCACGCAGAGAGCCGCGCGCCGCGGTACGGAACACTCCGGGACAGGTTCACGTCGCGGTAGCGCGCCACCGGCCGCAGTACTGTCGTACGGTCTGAGCAAGAACCATCCCTCTCTCCTTGCTTTCATCGGCATGACAGTAGTCGTCGTCGATTCACCTGTTTTGTCGCGCGGGACGATCGTCTTTTGAAACTAAAAAAAAAAAAAAAAGTTTTTTTTCTTCACGATCGATCGATTGTCGCTCTCTCGATCTGCAGTCTTGCGGTCTTTCGATCGCGATCCCGCGAGTCATCGGATCTGTGTAAACAGTGAACGAAAATCCGCAGATTTGTGAGCGTTTAAACACAATGTGATCACCGATAGCACGTTTGAGTCAGCAGCGATCGAAGATGGTCGATCGAAATTTTGTTTCCCGATGAATCTCGAAAGAACGGACGCGAGTGCGCTCGAGATATAAGGAATATGGAATAAGGCCGCAAAGAGGTCGAATGCTGGCACTCCTGGCGATATTGCGGGGTATTATCCTCCGAACGCAAACGGCTCTTAAAACGTGCGGTTCGGTGATCGAGGGTTGATACGCGCGCTCCCGCAGAATTATGTGACGATCGTGAACGTGCTCTCAAATTTTGTAAAATTAAAAAAAAAACAAACAAACAAAACCAAAAGACGAGTCTCTTTCTTCACGCAACAAATATTGAAGAGTTACGAAATGTTCAGGTGTTATTCGTATCACGTTCGTACGAAAAGATCTCTCTCTCTGTGTGCTGATCGTGCATTTTAAATACACATACGGTATATCGAGATAAACTTGAACCGCGAATTGTTTTCTCGCGTTATAAACGCTCGAATTTTTCTATTATCCCGCTTTGGATCTCTGCGATTACGTTTGTTTTTCGCATGAATTATTTATCCGATTGTGCGCCCGTTAGTTCATTAATCAATATTATACGCTCGCAGATTTATATATTAATTGTTACATTCGGCCTTTTAAATTAATTATTAAAGCGATACTTTCCTGTTCCCGCGTTAATTATTCAAATAATCTAATTACTAATTAAAACTCACGTGCCGTCATTTATTGTATCTTATTTATTATTTATTATTACAGTAATTCCATTACATTACGGAGGAGCGTTTTATTTCGAACCGTTGAGTTGTTAACAACCGTTATTTCCGCGATACGTCGATCGCGCGATACAACTTCAGCTTGAACTTTTACAAAAAAAAAAAAAAAGAAAGAAAAAAATAGCAAAGAGTATGGGACTCCGAGCTGTGTAATAATTTCGGAAGTATACTACTACTGAAAAAGTTCGGCGATCTCTCGCAACTTCGGCGAAGCACGCTCCGCGCGAGATGTGTTTCGTGAGGACAATCTCGAGAGTGAAGTAATCGCGATGGGACTCGAAACGTAAAATACATGGCTCGTCGTCGAGGAAGAAAATAGCAGTGATAGAAAGAGATTATGTTACAACGCGCTTGGTGTATTCGCGTCGACGTAAAATATCAGCGACAACATAACAAACAACAAGTAATATAAAGCGAACAAAATCCAAATATACAACAACGTCAAACTACGTTCAGACAGCAGTCTGGAAATAACAATCGTTAAATAAACCACATCTTCGCGAGTGTCCTTCGCGGTGTATAAAACAATATTACAACTGAGATACATCTGGTTCTAAGTGCGCTTCTAACAGCTCCTGTTAAATTAACTGTGAATAAGGGATTCGATTACTGCGCGCGTGTGTGTGTGTGGTTGGTTGCGGCTTAACGTGTGCATACACACACGTACGCGCACGCACGCACGCGGCGAAGTGTTTGCAATGAGATCGGACGAGTCAACGCGAAGTTAAGCATCGCTGATTATCTTAGAGCCATCGTGTAATTGGCGCTAATTAATCAGTACGACTCTTCACGCTCCAGACGACGACGTCGTCGTCGTCGAAATCGCCGCGTATTTCACAGCTTCCCGTCGTCCTGCCCGTCGCAAGAGGTGAGAAAGCTGCGTAAATATTCTCTTCTTTCAACAATCAACCTGTGTTGCGACACATTTTCTAACGCCGTCGTATCCTAATCGCGGTGTGGGGGATGTTTCACAAACGCGCGTTTTCAATTTTTGCCGAGCTCTCTCTCTTTCTCTGTCAACACATCCTCGTCAAAGTATGTCTCCCGTCGATTATCATGTAAAATCGAAGATGATTGAATTGGATGATTTCGCGGTTTATCACCCAAATGCTAGCAAATGCTCAACTTTGTGTTTGCCATTTGCGTATATTTCGCGCATTTCGAACGAAGTGATCATCCGCGCATCGGCGACATCGGGACAGTTCCAACTTTTTTGATCTTTCGTCCCAATTTTTTGTACAAACTTTTTCTGCGCTATAAACAAGTACGCGTAGAAATGTAATTTACATTTGTTCCCTCTACATTTTTTTTTTTTTCTATTTTGCCGAGCAAAAGTCGAGTGTTTCCCGCGAAATATAAGGCGACGGAAAATCTGGTCATCTTACATTTAACTCTCTCTCTCTCTTTCTCTTTCTCTCTCTCTATGTATGAGACAGGCAGATAAGTCCGAATTGCGATTTGTGTGCAGAAAGTTTCCGTGGCTGCGTGAAATTTACCGTTGCATTGCGCGCGTCTCTCTTATCGGCCGTAATAGTTTCGGACTCTGCCCAGCTCTGGGTCCGAAACTTGCTCTCCGAGTAATTTCTCATTTACGATTTTACACACGCGCGCACACACACAAACACGTCTGTAGAAATAAAGCAAATTTGCATCAGTTTGATATCGAAACGTTTATATTGTCTCTTTAATTCACTGAATTTTGGTTTTCGTTCATTTTGAAATATCGCGCAGAGTTTCGTATATATATATATATATGTATATATATATATTTTTTTTTTCGCGCACGGCTTTTATCTTTTGCGAGGCGTAGTTCCAGAGAAATATTTTCAAGAATCCCCCGGAAAGCCTTTGAAATTCTCAAAATATCGCGCAACTCGGAAAAGCAGGAACATTTTCATCTCGCGATATGATATAAAAACTGCCGATTCAACAAACAGTCGCGTTGGTATTTTATTTGCACGTTGTTGTTTCTAGAGAAAATGCGATATTGTCGCGGTAGAGAAGTTTAAACGCGGAACGCAATTTATTTGCCTATATGTATATATATATATGTATATGTATATACACACACATATATATATATATATATATATTTATAGTATATGCATATACATGCGCTAAAGCAGAGAGAAATATTTCTAGTTTAGTAGCCGCGCGTTTATCTGCGTATCAGGCACCTGCATACTTTGTTTGCATAAAGGTCGAGGGGGTTGGAATTAATAAATCCATTACGCGTAATCGCAAGTCGTGAAAAAGCACCTTTTGAATTCTCTAGAGCGTATATTATAACGTTGCGATCGCGAGCGCGCGTTTCAAATTCGCAAGCAAAATTTAATTATGAAGATGACATATTATTATTATTATTATTTTTTAATCGATTATTTATCGGTTTTTTTTTTAAAAACAAACGTTTGTGTTCTCTGAAAATGTTGTAATCAATATACAGGTGTGCGATCAGTTGTGCTTTCGAAATAAATTAACTTTTGTTAAACACTCTCTCTCGTTGCTACAGGAAATGACATTAATTCACACCATGAAAAAAAAAGACATTCTGTGAACTCACGCAGAAATTCCAATTACATTCGCGCAAGCACCGCGTTATCCCGACTGTTATTTCGCTCTTACAAACGTATTCGCGCGTTGGCGATTTTTGCATACGCAGCGCAAAATTTCGTACGGATTATTACGTTTTATTTATTCGGTCACACATATAGCTAGCGGAATATGTCCCTGCCACATAATAATGCGTGATATATATTTGTTTTACATTACTATATGAATGTTTTTCTGCAATTTTTTATGCGACAAACGTAAAGCGTTCTTTATTCATTGCGTGGAAAAAAATTTTGAACGCAAATAAAAAACAAAAAAAAAAAACGCAAACAATTACATCATAATGCACTTCGCGCGCAATAATCGAAATTATACAGCGTATGTCGAGAGACCCCTTCGAGGGGCGAAATGGTTTCGAACAAATGTTCTATTTTATGTGTTTACGTTTGCTCTAACTGACATAAATATATTAGCTTAAATTCAATAAAATTACAAACACAATGTAACAAAGCAAAATGTTAATTTATTAATTTATTAACATATTACACATTCATTTTGTTTCATCATCACAAAATAATGTTATTCTACCTTTATATATAGTGAATTATCTCTCCCCCTCTCCTCACATAACTGAGTAAAACTCAAATATATCACAAATCAATCGAAAGAAAACCAAGAACCAGCGTGTGTGCGAAAACAATAATACAATCAATGTCTTCATCGCGGACAACTCGCGTGTTCTGCTTCACGGTTGCGAATTTAAGTTAAGTTTCGGGAGTAAGCTCAATAGTCTCGAGCTTTATAGAAGGAAAAATATGTAAAACTTCTCTCTCGGAGAGAGCTGTCGAGTCCCCCGTTCTTGCAAATTGAGAGTTATTTCACGAGTAGTTCATCCCCAAAAGCGTCTCGCATTTCACTCGCGGACTACGGGGTTCATCCCGTAGTGTAGTTTTCGCAGTCCGTGATATTGCACGTTCGCTCGCATCGCGAAAGACTCGTTTCGTCATATGATATCCGGAGTTTATTTTCACGCCCCCTCTCGTTCCGTCAAAATGAGGCGCACGCCACATGGAAATTTAAACTCGCGAGAATAATGAGTTAATTCGAGTTCGCGATTAGTTAACTCCACTTCTCGTTCGCCGCAAACGCTCCGACCGCGCTTTGCGCGCGCGGCGCGTCGACATTTTTCAACACATCAATCGGCGAACGACGCCAGCTTGTGACGAATAGAAAAATATTACGGAATATGATTAAACATATTCACATACACACACACACACACACACAGTTTTCTTCTCCGTGCAGGTATTAATTAAAAAAAAAAAAAAAAGAACGTAAAAATAAAGTTGCGGTTTTTACAGTTTATATATATACAAACAAGAGAAAATATATAAATAATTTAACTTCCGCTGTTCTCTTTGAGGAAAATTTTTACGTGTAACACTTTGCAAATACAACAAGAGAGAATATATATCCGTTACGTTAAGTTAAGATAACGAAGTATTTTACATGCTGCTAAACTCTCTCTCTCTCTCACCGAGCCAAGCTCACGTGCGTAGAATATTTTGGCGCTTGCCTTCATTATTCTACACCTGCTTACGTTAGATGCGCAAGAATGCGGAATCTTCGCAAAAGCCGCGCGATTCATGAAACTCTTGTCGTGCACAAAGTACCGACATTCCGAAAATTCCGTTTTACGGAAATTTTGGGTTCACTTGGGCTTCCTTTCGTGCTCGTTGTTATCGGGGGAAGGGTTACAAAGGTTGGGCGACCACCGTTACGAGGGCGCCGCGCAAGGAGTTAATTAATAGATTCTGAAGTAATCCTTTGTTTCATTTTGCTTAATGGAACCCACGGTTGCAGCATAAACCTGACAAACAAAGCCGTTCATAATATTAATGCGTATTACCCTAATCGCGAAATATCGTGTTTTACGCCGAGATAAAGTTGACATTTTCGCCTGTTGTTGTTATTATCGCTGTTGTTATTATTGTTATTATTATTATTGCATATCTCTATAATGAAATCAAGGTAATTTGACCAATCGAATGAATCATAGAGATAATTAAATTATTTTTGCATATACGCGCGCGCGCGCACGGAACGCGCACAACTGGCAAACCAGTTGATACAAATTTTTTCTTTAACAACAAATTTTTTTTTACAAATTTGAAATCTCTTTCCATGGAAAACGTGTACCGTAAACGCGCATATGTCGAAATCCTGCGTTGAATATATTTTCGCAGAATTTAATAAAGCTGAAAGAAGTAGAGAGTATTTAATAAAGTTGAAAAATTAATTCCAAATTGTCTTAATTTAAAAACTGTTGGGAATGAAGAAACGCGGAAAATTAATTAAGAGAACCGCGAGGGAATTATTAAAAAGAAATACAGCACATGATAAAAAGCTCTACCTTTCAGAAGTAAGGATCCGTCAAACGGATCCGTCAAACGGATCCTTACTTCTGAATAATCGTTTGTACAAAAAAAAAAAAAAAAAAAAAGGTTTCCTCTTTCATCGTAAAACAAGTTAATTTCAAAATAATCTCAGTTATTAACTTCGTAATTTACGTATTTTTTAAATCACATAATTTTATAATTCATTAATTACTTACGAGTCGATTGTTACGAGTGGCGTAAACAAAGTAACGTAACGAGGTTATATAAATATGTAAAGATCACGTCTCACAGACAATCAGAGGTTCGCTTTTATCTTCGTACTTACATATAATTGTTGTTTCAACCTTCGAGAGAATAATTGCCACGAAGATTATCGTGCGCGCGCGCGGATTCTGCGGTTTGTTTTTTAATCCTGTTCGCGCGCAGAACTTCCAGAATCAGTGAAAAATCGTGGAACGATCCTTCACCTGGTTAGCAATTTATCCATTTGCTCGTTACTCGCGCTCTCGCCATATCTCGCGAGTCAAACAATTCACGTAACAGAGAACGCCGATAATTAAAGCCGCAGTAGATAAATGTTAAAGGACCGGAAGCGGGCTCTTCGCCGCAGTTGACCGTGTACACGCGTCTTTAATTAAAGCTATCCCCCTCGATATCCGTATTTCGCGGCGCCGATAAATAATTGTTTGCGAAGGTAGACGACGGCCGTTACATCTGTTTATTTGAGCTCTTTTTTTTAAATTCGCAGAACTCTCGCGCTCATTGCTTTTAACTCCGCGTCCGTGTGCAACATTGAATTCGTCGATGACGTCGATGAACACAACACGACGAAAAGGGGGACAGAGCAGAAGGGAAGAGAAAATGAGAGAACTAATTCCACTTTTAATTTCTTGAGATTTCTCAGCTCGAGCGGGAA